TGGAGTTCTTGGACATGGGGCTGTGCTCCTTTATTTTTCTTTTTTGTTTCCTTCTTGTTGCAGGGAGACAGCTGTCCCTTCTGCCCCTGTGAAGTCACTCACAGGGAATGAAAGGTTCTGCAGCTGTGGAAGGAGGATCGCTGCATCAGGAGAGGCTGCACGTTCAGACACATGGAAATTGGTGTGTTTGCCTACAGATGTGTTCTCAATCCACAAATCCGCTGAATTGCTGTAGGAGGCTAAGTGTGCTTTTAAGGCTAGATTCATTTGCTTTGAAAAGATATGGTTTTGATGACAGGGAAGACAACGGAATGCTGCCAGAGATCTGTGTTGATCAGACAGAAAATAGTGGATGTTGGCCTCCTGTGAGCTGGGCTTGATACTGATCCACCAGGACTCTTCTGTCCTGGATTTCTACAGAGAATGTTGTTCTGGCTGCTTGTAGTTTTGAAGTGTGGGAAGGAAAGAGTGGTTATGAATTGAGAACCTCAAGATAATATTGGATAGGTATAACTAAGGCAGTTAAAGGCAACGTTTCCCTCTGAAGAATCCAAGTGCTTTGCACTGTGTATTAGTTCAGCTCCCCCAGACTAATGTTTGAGTATGCCTGTCTTCTCCAACTAAATGATGAGAAAGCAAAATATATTAATTAGCTACAGCTAGTGCAGACTTTGTGAATATGCCCTCAAATTCTTTCCTTTACTGATAAAGGATCCTCTGAAGTAATGTTTCAGCACTATGATAGTCCTGTCTCTGGCATGACCTGGAGACGTGTGTCCCTGTATCAACCTTAGGTGCCTATTTCCAATAAGATCATGGTTGTCTCAACTAAGCATCTCCCAAGAGCTGCTCATGGAGTACTACTTTCTTACAGTATGAAGATGATGCAATTGGCCTTCCACTGAAGAACGGAATTGCTGAAATGCAGTGGAAGAAAACAGTCTGAAAAATGAGCCAAGTGAGAGGTAGAGATAGACAACAGGATTGGATGCAGAGCTTTTCAGTTCAGATTTTCTGTATGTTCTCTTTGCACGTTGATTAAGGTCGTAAACACTGGGATTTACAGTTAAAGATAGTTGTATTATTGCATTTCCACTATTTTACCACTACGTGAAGTAAGTGCTTTGGCTTCCTCCAGAGAGATGCTTTGCTCTGACTGGCAGCCGCAGGCTCCTTCTGGGCTGGTGACCCTGCAGTTGCATCTGTGCTGGAGGAAGCAGCATGCCCAGT